TTAGTGAGTCCATGAGGATGTGGTCTTATCGTCTATTTGGAGAATCAAACAAAAGTTCAGAGGGAGGTCGGATGTGCTGGCTTGCACATCTCATTTCCACAACCCTGCCTTAGCTGCATCTTTGCAGCTCCCTGACTTATCCTTCGTTAGAAGAAATGTTCTGGCCTCCCCTGTCCTGTGGGTTGGTGCAGTTCTCTAAGGGGACTGGGCCCAGAAGCCAGACTCTTGCTAAAGTTCAAGTCTTCCCTCAACTTTCCTGCCACTGAAGGTAACAACCGAAGATATCGGCTTCCCAAGAGCAACAGACCCTCCCCAGAACAGCCTGCTCTCCACCACGACATGCAGTCTGGAGCTTCGTTTCGCTTGACTTCAGATAATGCGTCTCGGAGAAAAGGTCAAGCTAAACAGGAAGAAAATCTTCCTTCCTCTAACTGCAGAAACACAGTGCGCTTTGCCTGGAGATCTGGTGCAGCCTCTTCCTTGACCAGATGTCACAGTACTGTTCCAGGCCATGAGACCTAGTCTGAAGAGCAGGTGCCTGGGCTCTGTGTACTTGTGAACACTCACCAGAGTGAGACCCCCTGTGGTCCCGAGGGAGAAAGGCAAGAGAGACCAGCTTCACCCTAGACCAGGAGTTGGCAACCTGACCAGGTGGTGGAACAGCTGTCAAATAGCTCTTTCCTGGACACTCCACTCAAATAGCCTTACAGGTAACTGGGATCCCCTCCATCACCACCACCGGTGTGCAGCCCCACCTGGATGATGCTCCAGTACTCTCACCACACACCAGCTCTCAGTGGGGAGGAGAGCAGAGTGATGAAGCCAGTTCAGAGTGGGGGGTTATTAGGAGTTCATGATCGGAAAAGACCAGGGGGAAACTTGGCTAGGACACCAGAAACACCCCACTCTTTTTGAGAAACACTCTGGGAATTTTAATGACCACAGAGAGTCAGGACCTCGGTTTGACGTCTCATCCAAACGACGGCACCTCTTTACAGTACAGTGTCCCTGTCACTATACTGGGGCATTAAGACCCACACAGGCCGTAGAATGAGCGCCCCCTATTGGCCCCACTAACACCTCTTCCAGCAGCAACCTTAGCTTTCCCAGGAGTCTCCCATCCAGCTACTGATCAGGCTCACACCTGCTGAGCTTCAGTGGGGTTGTCGGTTGTGAGCTGCAGTGTGATATGGCTGCTGGCTTGTCAATAGTTAGGTCAATAATGATCTGATTTGGGTCACTACAAGCCCACCTGGATCAAAAACCTATAGATCTCCAGCATTGGCAATCCTTGCTTTGGGACCTTCCTGCCACTGACATTAATATAAGTTTTCTTAGACCATACACGCCAATCTGGACCTCACAGGACTGGACATTCACTTATTAAGTCACCTCCAGTCTAGAACTGCCCTAGCAACAGACCTCCTATTATGGATAGGCAATTAGACACTCTAAACCACATACAATACATCTAATATGTTTCATTGCTACAGTTTTTCTTTGTTATTGTTATAGCTGTTATTATACTTCCTGGCTTTTGGTACCGTTGTTGAACTCTGACCTCCGAGCAGGAAGGCAGTAGTTTCGAATCCCAGCTGGGGCATTGCCGTTGTACCCCTGAGCAGGGCCCTTCACCCTGTAGAAAGCTCCAGTAAAATGTCCAGCTGTAGCCGTCCAGTGTCCACTAACACACAAACATTTGGGGAACAGAATCTGGTTTCTGCTAGGTCTTGGTTCAAGTTAATGGTTCAACCACTTGAAGGAAAGGGTTAGGAGCATATTGGAGCTCTTAGCTGTAGTTGGGCTGAGAAACTGCCTGAGGAGTAACAGAAGCTATCAGATAAGATTTGCGGAGCTGAAATTGTGCCGGACTTAAAAAGAATGTGGAAGGACTGGTGGGGGGTGGATATCTGGAGTTGTAAATAAGCTGTCTTTGTTCTGCAATACCTCTGCTTAATGCCTTACTGCACAAGTATGTTAACTAATAACTATTCCCTTGGAGTGTCACCACTCCTCAAGAAACGCTTCCTCCTCTGTGCTTGTTTTTTGTGTAAATGCTTGACCATACAGTATGAAGGGGAAAGTCTCAGCTTGTAGTTTGAATTGACTCCGGCTCCTGTGGCCAACAATTTCTGTTTGCGTACATAAGAAATTCACTGTGCCTTTCTCGCAGTGAACCTGACTGAGAGTGTGCATTTTCTACACGCTCATGGTGAGTCACTCAAAAGGGAGCCTGCAGACGCAGTCCTCGTGCGTGGAGCTAAAAGCGATGCAGAACCGGCACGCCTCACACCTGGATTCTCTAGAACATGCCTCCTCCGCATGACACACTTCTCAGAAAACACATTTATGGAAATGGGTGAGTGAGAGAGTGGGCAGGGAGATCTCCTATAAAGCCACAACGATGCAGAGAAGAAACACACTGTCACAACTTGTGATATCCCCCCGCCTGCCACCACCGCCAACCGGAGAGAGAAAGACGCAGAGATGGCCAAAGTGTTTGTCTATTACACCGGCGGGACTGTTGGCATGGTACCAGGGCCAGATGGTAAGAGGGCGCACATCTCTGCTTCAGTCTTGTGTACTTGTGTACCGCACTAACGACAACTTGACCTTGTTCCTAAGCTGTGTTTTTGTTCTTGTTTGTTATTGTCATTTTCGTTGTTTTGTTGATATCGTTGTTTGTGTTCTTACCAGTCTTGTCGTTGTGTTTCTGCTTGTTCTTGTTTGTCATTGCTGTTCTCACTAGCTTTTTGTTATTTTTTTTGTAATTGTCCAACTTTCTGTTGTTTTTGTTGTTTTTTTGGTCACCCTTTCTATTTTTATTGTGCTTCTTTCCGTTGACCTGGGGGTTTTTTGTAATGGTTTCAATTTTTCTTGTTTTGTGGTTTCATACTGTTTCTTTGGAATAGTTCTTATTTTTCTTGATCTGATTTCTGTTGTTGTCCTGTTTCCTAATGTTGTTTTTCTGGTTGTTTCTGTTTCTATTGCTGTTCTTTTTGTCATTTTCTTTGACTTCGGAGTTTCTTTCTCTTTTTATTGTCGTCCCTTCCATGATTTTTTTGTCGTGTTGCACTGTTTTCTAAGTGTTTCTTTTCCTTGATGTGATGTCTCTAGTTGTGTTGACTGTTACTCTTGTTGTAATAGTATTGTCACCTACTTGCTGCGAGCTTGTTGGGTTCCAATCCTGCAACAGTGAGCACCACTACCCCCGAGCGGGAGGCTTCACTCGGAGCTCCAGGACTCTACTCTGCTGGTGTCAGGCCCTGACAGTATAGCATAGCCTGCTATTGCAATTGCTACAGCTATTGCATTAGAAATGGACTAATGAGCATTACCTTTTCTCCACTGGCAGTATTCAGCAAGCCAATAGCAAATTAGGGAAGGAGCAGTGCAGAGATGCAAGACGTCACAGTGAAGGTTGGAGATGAGTTTTAATTTGTGACAAAAAGGCTATTTCAGGATTAACACTGAAGAAGACACACACAAGGTGTATCACCCACCCAGGGTCCTTCCTTTCCTGTGCATTTTGTCTTTGATATCAATATATTACTCTATGCACTACTATTTGTATCTGCAAGTTTGTAATTTCCCAATTGAAGTCTTGCATATCTCATACTTCCCCCTCTATTTATTACTCAACTACCTTTTTACTAAGTCTCTCAACTGCACACTTCCTTAATGTCTTATCATTTACGAGACGAAACTTTCTTAAACGTCTTTGTTTGGTGAAACGGAACTGATATTTTGCCAGCTAAACATATTCAGCCCCGTTCTAACACACAAGATAAATAGACACAAATGCCAGACACCAGAGCTCTGGAACCACACAAGCATTAATTGTGTACCTTTAAATTTGGTTTTACTTTAACTGAAACGGATTCATGACCTGCAGTATGATTTATAAATGAGGTAATCCCATCCTTAGTGAAGAAATTTATATTTTTTTTATCTAATTATTAAAGTTACTATGCCTCTTTCAGTATCTTGCTTGGACACAGCTAACACATTGTTATTGTCGCTCTGAGGTTTTTGCCTTTTGCAGGTCCTCTCACTGACCTGACACATTGTGATCCCATATCTAAACCCTTTTTAATATTTGAATGATTTTTCTAGCATTTTATTGGGCCATTTCTTATCTCCTTAATTTTTAGACATTTTATATAAGTTTTATATAATTTCCTCCTGCCCAGTTTAGCACCAATTTGTCCTTTGGAGACTATATTATTGTCACAAACAGTTCTTTCCGGGCCCTATGCAGATGACACAATCCGGATTAGTGAGGAAACACTGGGGAGACAGTCATGCAGGAGAGGGTAAGGAGACAGGGGGTGTGTCCAAGGGGTGCAGGTGTCCAGGGGGAGTGAGTCCGGGGCGAACGTTCCATGAAAAATTCCAAACGGATAATCCAAGACAGAAGGTAGAGTCCAAGGCTAGGGGATCCATCCAGAGAATAAAACCATGAACCGGGTCGGGACCGGCGGGGCGGGGAAACAGGAACAGAAGGTTAAAAGCATAACGGAGCCAGACGCAGATGGACCCTAGGCTCTCACAAAGCAGAATTCAATGAGGAACCAGGAGTGGAGTCTGCGTCTGGCTTTTAAGGGGGAACGGAAATAGGGAACAGGTGCAGGTAATGGGAGAAAACAAGGAAGGGCTGGAGGGCCCTTAAGAGGAGGGGTTAGCGATCGTGACAATTATATACAGTAGTTTTAAATGCTGTTTGTTCGGTTTGCCCTGCACGTCTTAAACCTGTACACACCCATCTCTGGACGTCAGGCTATAATTCTTTTAATTGATCAGCTTTTGCCCAGCATGCAGTTGAAGATTGCTTAGGTCTTATATTCCCTAATTCCCTTTTTACTGAAAACTGTCAGATCTATAACTTGACTTCAACTAGCCTCAGCAGTCATGCCTAATTTGTAGCGGGACAGCTTATTTTTCCTTTCTCTATTTTTCTATTTCTTCACAATCCACTGTACACAATCTCATTTCCATGTACGGCACTTCACCTTCCATATATTCTTTGTTTACAAATCCTCAACATCTACTCTTATCTCTCCTACTAATGATTGTATTTCTGCCTGTTTCAATTCATGATATGTGTTATAATAATATTTCCGTACACTCTCACCACACACCAGCTCTCAGTGGGGAGGAGAGTAGAGTGATGAAGCCAGTTGAGAGATGGGGATTATTAGGAGGCCATGATGGGTAAAGACCAGGGGGAAATTTTGCCAGGACACGGGGGTAACACCCCTACTCTTTTCAAGAAACAGGATTCTTTTAATGAGAAACAGTATTGTGCCGAGGAGCCAAGTGTGGCATCTAAAGAAGGCTCCACAGCCAAAACGTTGTGTTTTCTTTCTTTTATTTTCAGCAGGGAATAAACCTATTACTTGTTCTTTTATTTATTGTTTGGCTGCCTCTTTTCCAAGCAGCACTGAAATACACAGGGACATCATCCGTATAGTTCTGAGATAAACCTATCAGTTCTTAGTATTAATTCCAGCCTCCACATGGCCTATGAGAGGGTAGTATTTAATCTGTGACAGAAATGTCTACTTACCCTCAACTGGGGATAGGAATCGGACAAGCAACCAAAATCACACAGATGTATCCTGCTGTCTACGCCAAAATGTAGAGCTGCAAGAAATCACAGTGCAGGTCAGTGAAGATCGGAGATGAATTTTGATTTGGGACACAATAGTCCATTACAGGAGAACACTGAGAGAAGACACACACAAGGTATATCCCCCACAATGTCCTGAACTCCAACAGTGTTACAGAGAGTTCTATAGTCTGACTACAGCCATGCTCACCCCATATTATTACCATGAATGGCGGTTTATGGGAGACCATTACCAATCGTACTGGACTCATAGAACATACTTCCACTTATGGCCCAGTGGCTGTTCCTTAAAATGTTACTTCTGCGTTTCAGTTATTTCTGACCTGTCACATACAGCAGGTGCCTGCTTAGAGAGCACTCAAGCCACGTCTGGGAGTAATGATCCAGATTTCTACAGCAGCTACCTGATGTTGTAGGTTCAGGGTTCTGGTCTTCAGGCAGGGGATCTGTGTTGCCAGCATGTTAGCTTGTGGTCTAACAAATGGTTAGTGGTTCAAGTGGTTCAAATCATCAAATGCTCGAGAGTTAAATGGGTCTCGTTAGATCTTAATTGGCTAATTTCACCCTTTTCCCAGGGATAATGTTATGGGTACTTGTCAGGTCCAGGAAAAGCTGCAGGATTAGGGGAAGCCCTGGTGATGTTGTGCAGGTGGGACTGGATCCCCAGCGAGGAGTGTAAAAGCTCAGCCATTCACAGTAATTTGCTGCCATTGCTGTGCTGAGCAGCTGTCTAGGAGGAACATTGCTGGGAGATCAGTAGACATGTAGGCATGGACACACTAGGTTGAGTTCTTTACTGAGCTGGAATAGAGTTGCTTCTTTAAGAACCTTTTGCAAGTTATTTGCTGTCTACTGGAAAGTTGGGCATGTGAGTGCTACATCACTGCATTGCTGGGGTTAAAAAAGTGGTTAAGAGTGGTTAAAGGTTAAATGATATTTCATATCTGAAGACGGTTGTAGAGGGCGAAATCGGTCTGCTGTTGGGTCAGATCAGGGTTCATTTGTGGAATCGAGAGCGCAGCAGGGTGGAAAACGACTCCCAGGGTGAACCCCAACCCCACTGTCGCTGGCGTCAGACCAGGCTGGGGTTACAGGCCAGTGCTCCTGTCTCCTGTGTCCCAGGGGAACATCCAGCCAAGAAGGGCGATTTCACCAAGGAGCTCCGCAGACATCCCGAGCTCTTCTACAAGAAGGATGGGGGCTGGTTTCTGCTGCCGTAAGACATTGTTAACATTACAATAATACTGTTAGAGATTACAGCTCCCTAACAAGGATACAAATGCTTATTCTCTATTACTGATATCAAGCTAAATTAAATGCAAGGCTATTTTATATTTTGGGGGCTGGAAAGAGTCAGCATTGATGAGTGCATTTCAAACCACAATAAAAGTTAAAATGTGTTGTGTAAAACCTCCAATTTACATAAACAAATAGATGAAATTTCCAGGTGTGAGCAGCACCATGTTCTGCGATTCAGAATGAGGCAACAACACTTCTGGTGAGGCGAAGCGGAATTATGAAGCAGGATTACGAATCCATCTCTTTTAATCCAATAGAAATATTGCTCTTGACTTCAAGACGGTTTAACCAACAGGTATTACTTATTTGTTAACCCTGCACGCAGGTCACATTGGATCATTTCTGTGGTGAGGTTTCTGCTGCACAACTTGTACTTATTTGCTCATACATCCCAGTATAATAGTCATTATAGTCACTAGTGAGCAGGAAGGGCCTCATTATGTCACAATTTGTTCATGTTGTTGCAAAGATTTAATAACTCGTCTGATATATGGGGACTGTGGTTATCCTTTAAATAGCATTGCAGGCCCTTGTCCTACAATGGTACTACAGTTTACTGCAGGAATATGATTACATCATCATGATGATCAATGTTGTCTTTGTTACTGGTAGTCACATGGAATGGCCATTAGTGATGTTCATTATCATTTTTTCTCCTTCTCGTTACAGTCCTTTGGCCACAGATGACTGTCCTGCAAAACTCCAGGTTTCTTATAAAGTGGAAGAGGAAGACAACCCCATTGATTCTTCCAAGATGACTCCCAATCTCTGGGTTTATTTTGCCAACAAAATCAAGGTAACCCCATTCTAATACCCTCCTGTCACCCTCTACTCCCAAATACACACACACACACACTACTTCCGTGCCTTCAGGTATGTCTTTATTGCTTTACTGACCCCTAAAAACAGTTTTTCAGAATGTACTCCGAGAGTGTTGTCTGGAAAATCTGTGCAATGAGTGATTTGTAGAACCAATGATGGTACTACAGCTAGTAAACTGAAATTTCCTACACTTTTATCTACCTGGTAGATCAGTCAGCCCTAAACACGTCAGAACATAGACACTCTCACACCTGACTGTACTGTAGACACTACTAGTGTCACTGCTGTCTCTCCTTTCACACACACACTGTCATACCTGACTGTACTGTAGACACTACTAATATCACTGCTGTCTCTCCTTTCACACACACACTGTCACACCTGACTGTACTGCAGACACTGCTAGTGTCACTACTGTCCCTGTCCTCTCACAGTCACCCTGAACTCACCAGCACACACACACACACTGTCACACCTGACTGTACTGCAGACACTGCTGTCCCTGTCCTGTGTGTTATTCTCAGTGGAGACACTGCAGCACTGTAGTTTAGCAGGTGTCAGACTATGGACTTATGTAGCCAGATTCTCCAGGTCCCTTGACCTCTGCCCCTGCCGGTGTCATCTCTCCTGCAGGAAAATGCAGAGGAGTATGATGGGTTTGTCCTCCTCCACGGCACGGACACGCTAGCCTACACCTCCTCCGCTCTGTCCTTCCTGCTGCGGGGGCTGAAGAAGCCGGTGGTGGTGACAGGAGCCCAGGTAAGAAAGCTCAGTTTGGGGTATGTATCATATGTGTCTGAAAATTCCCTTCCTGCCTGAGGGCTAGAGATGGGCCTTCACTGGCATAAACCGAGCAATGAATGTGTTTGGAAGGGATACCACAAGACTCCCCTCCCGCTTCACCCACCTGGCACTTGAGAACGGAAATTATAAACCCCTTGTTCTACCTATAAAATGAAAAGAAGATGATGGCAGAGGATTACCACTTTATATTCCTCAGAATTAACTTTCACAAGCACTTTGTTGGCAATACTGTCGCTGTCACGTGGTGAGAAAACCATTCTGCAGGTGTTCTGGGGCTCAGTTCAGGTCTGGGGTTAGTTTAGGACCTGTAACATTGCGAAAGCCAAAATTATGGTTGGACCCTCTGCGGTGATCGGTTTAACCTGAGGAACAGGTTTTTAATGAAAGCCAGGTGTACTTATTCAAAGGGAGTATCCAAAGTCGTAGCCGTAGAAAACTCGAGTCAGTAAGCCGGAGGATCAGGAAGCAAAACGCGGACAGGAAGCAAGGAATCTCTAAAGCAGGGAGCTTCAGTGGGGAAGCCAATACTGAGCACTGAGATGGTGTGAAAGTACTCTGGCGCGGTGGTGACTGATTGGATGATCAGTTCATTCATCTGCGCGGGAATGAGAAGGGGCTTGTGTCTGATGGCGTGTGGCTGTGACAGGACCATGACATGAGGTCAGTCAGTCAGAAGAGCCAGACGAGTGTGTCCAGCTCACCTGCTGTTTCTCCCGTGTGCTTGTACCCTTAAATCCGGGCAGAGGTCCCTGTTCGAGCCCCGCAGCGATGCCGTGGAGAACATCCTGGGGGCGCTGTTGATCGCAGGCGGATACTGCCGTGACCCCGCACTACAGCTGGTGAGAGGAACGGTGTCTCTCCTCCACACTCTTCTCTTTATTTCTCTTCCTTCCCAGACTTCCACTGGCACTTTCTGCCCTTTGGAGCTCCATCTTTCTCTCCTTCTGGGCACGATTATTGATTCTCAACATACCCGCCCCCACCCAGTTTGGGATTGGCAGAAGTTTAAGACTCTGCCGTAGGGCTGGGCTGCATCCCCATGCGCCCGCGTGGTTAGAAAGAGGAGCCGCTGCACTTTCCCGTGTTTTTTGAATCCGTTTTCCCTCCCCTACAGGTGTCCGTGTTCTTCAACCACCGGCTCTTCCAAGGGAACCGCGTGACCAAGTACGACTGCGACGCCTTCGACGCCTTCAACTCCCCCAACGTGGAGCCGCTGGTGGAGATGGGGGTCACCATCGAGGGTGAGAGTTACCGAGGCCCCTGTGTGGCGGGGGACGCGGGCTGAACCCCTTAGCTCACACAGCGTCTTGGCAGAGGCGTTTTCCAGCTCTGCCTCGAGTAATGGAGCGTCACATACAGCAACCCCTCTGTTTAACCGACTTATGGGTGGAAAGAGTGTCTGTTATTGCTGAACGTCCATTTAATCACAAATTTATTTTTTTCTGCCCCAAGCCATACCATTATATGAGACAATATAGATACATACTGCATATGCATGAGTCTGAAGAGGGTCATTGGGTTGACTAGGTCGGTGGCACAGTGGCTGGCATTGCTATCTTGCAGTGCTGGGGCCCTGGGCTTAATGCCAGACCTGGAGGGCTATTTGAGTGGAGATTGCAGGTTCTCTGTGTATGGATTTTCTTCACTTTCCTCCCACAGTCCAAAGACATACTTGTAGATTAAATTGGCTTCTGGGAAAATGGGCCCTGGTGTGACTGTGTTTGTATCTGTGGCTGCCCTGCTCTGGACTGGCACCACATCCAGGGTGTAACTTGATTTGTGCCTGTTGCTTATTGGGATAGGTTCTGGCCACCTCCATGACCCTGAATTGGAAGGAATGGTTAGAGACTGGATGCATACCAGTGCCATTAAGGGTTTGAAATACTACTTTTGACCAATAAGAGTTGGAACATAACTAATGAAAAAGTTGCAAATGGCAAGAAGAAATTCTACACTTAGGCCAATTAAGTTAATTTGTCTCATTCATCCATCTCTTTTTCCAACAGCGCATTTTACAGCTTATTATAGACATCAGCTGCCCTTTGTCTAAAGAATTACTTCAGTCTTAAATTAACTTCGTCTTCATTTCCAAGCTTATATTAGATTCTTTGTCTCATTGTTGATGGTGAAATAGTCTGCTGGGTTTGCTTTCTCAGCACTTTTTAGGATTTGATTATTTGTCAATTTGATCTTTTCTTCAACAAAGGTCACATCGGGGGGAAGGACTGTCTGTGCAAGACATAGAGTGGACGAGCAACATTAGTTCCTGAATCTATTCGGACTCTGCCTGAGGTTCCCTCTAACCCATCAAACGGATTTGTTTTTTTCCTGCGATATCCAGGATATCAATAATAATATCCTAGAACGGTTTTATTCCACAACCACAACCTCTCCCAACTGTCTGCCTGTCTGTGTTGCAGTGAATGCCAGGCCCTTCCCAGTTCCGAACAATTGGCTGCCCATTTGTGACTGGGATTCACTTCCAGATGTTCGGATCTTGCGTCTTTTCCCTGGGATCACTGAGAATTACGTGAGTGTAGATGCACATTTTTTGACGGAGTGATGGAGATCCATATACCTAACCTCTTTGCCACTTTTCGGCCAGCCCTTGTTTCCTTCTGCCCCTAGTACAGATACACTTTCAGAATTAGTTCACGTAGGGAGCTGCAGAGGAACGGTTTGTTCCCTGCTGAAAAGAGAAGAAAAGAACCAACGTTTTGGCTGTGGAGACACACCTGAAGAAGACTCCACAGCCAAAACGTTGTGTTACTTTTCTTCTCTTTTCAGCAGGGAATAAACCCTTATTTGTTCCTTTACACATTCAGAATGTTGCACAATAGGCCAGAGTTACTGCATCGTCGGGCAAAGTTCACAGTCTGCAGTAGCAAAGTTTAAAAGGGAACTGCGATGCTACTTTTATATTTCTGGATTCTGAAGTATCAGAAATGGTAAGTGCTTTTCAAACCACAATAAACATAAAACAAAAACAGAAACTTGTTAAACTTCTAATTTACATCACAAAACAGACAAAACCTCCAGGAATGCGCAGTGCCATGTTCTGCCATTCAGAACATGGCAGCACAACCAAACTTCTGGTGACGCCTTTCAGTCTTTATTACATTGTAAATAAGCAGGCTTGTGAATACATCTCTTTTAATCCAATAGAAGTATTGCTCTCAACTCTGTGCTGTTCGTGCTGATAAAAACTGCATAATTACTTGATAACTGATAACTTGATCACATACGATCATTTCTGCGGTGAAATGTTTGCTACACAACCTGGAATTATTTACTTGTAAATCGCATTACATGAGCCATTATAGTGACTAGTGAGCAGGAAGGGCTGCATCACATCGCAATTCACGGGAATTCTCGCTCTTGCCCATGGCAAGACCAGGGGTTTTTCGACAACAATGGCGACCATACAGTACTTTCACAAGGTTCACAATTTTGTACTTAATTCGAAATTTGTAAATGTTTTCTATACCATCAATACATTTATTTTATCAAGATTTAAAACCGGTCTGAGAAATTGGGTTCCCCTTTGAGGAGAAGTAATGCCCTCTTATAATGTACTGGAGACCTGTCTTTGGGTTGTGCAATGTGACAATCGCAGAATTGTATATTTATGGTGTAAAGTAAGTCAGCCTGTCTTGCAGGTGAAGTGTGTCCTGGCTGGCGACGGAGGGGTGATTCTGGAGACTTACGGTAGTGGGAACGCCCC